GGAAACCAGAGCCCCCTGACAAGGAACACTATTTTCATCATTAAGGCCAACACTTTACCCCCTAAAACCTAAACCCTAAACCCTGAAGGCCCTAAACCCTTTTTTGAACCCTTCCACCTCGAGGAGCTCCACTCTCATACAACCCAGCAGCTGTAGCGCCCATCGCCACCGTCCCAGCATCCCACGGCCTCCGGGGAGTTTAGGGGAAATGCAGGGTTTTGGGTTTGCGGCTTAGGATTTAAATGATGTACTTAAGGGTTCAGGGGTTTAGGTTTTAGATGTTTGGGGTTTAGATGCTTGGGGTGTAGGGCTTCATGGCTCTCGCGGCTGCTGCCCTAAACCCTACTAAACCCCAAACCCTAAACCCTCAACCCTAAACCCTCAGCACCTGCAGCACTGTAGCTGACTGCATCGGTGCGCAGGCCACGCTCCTGGAAGCTTCCGAAGATGGAGAGGGCGAGCTGCCAGCTGGACGACAGCCCGGCACCTTACTTCGGTTTAGGGTTTAGGGCTTTTAGGGTTTAGGGTTATAGGGGTTAGGGTTTAGGGGTTAGGGGTTAGGGGTTAGGGTTATAGGGTTTATGGTTTGGGGGTTTAAGGGGCTTTAGGGGTTTTAGAGTTTAGGGTTTAGGGTTTGAAGGACATGACGGGATGACAAAAGTATTCTCGGAATACTAGTGACTTTCTTGAAAGAGACTGTGAAAAGCTTGTGAACATTGGGGTTTAGAGAACTAAGCCACAGGAGCTCATGGCCGCGTTGTAGGTAATAAGATCAGCAGGAAGGCGCTCCAGGGACATCTCTTTCAGAGCCTGGGGAAGAGTTCTTCCTTTCAGTTATAATGCCAGGCCATAAACCGTTTTTTGTTCAAGGTTTAGAAGTTCAGGATTTATGAAGCCACCATAGCCCTGTAATCAAAAGAAACCTGAAGAAGTGAACCTAACCGAAGCAGTGTAGAGCCTTCTAGCCAACCCCAAATCCTAAACCCATCTGAAACCCTAGCCCACAAACCCCAAGCCTTTCACCGAAACAGCCTAAACCAAAGACCGTAAGCCCTATGAGCCCTAAACCACTCTAAACCCGAAGCCCTAAACCCTAAACCCCAGAGCCATTTGCAAGCCTGACTGGCCTCAAGAGCTTGTAGCCACTGCCCCTGTCGCTCGAAGGTGCTGATGCTCGTGCCGTAACTGATGACCTGACTTTACCAAACTCCCCTCGAGGCTCCTCTTAGGGGTTCCTTTACCCTACGGTTTGGGGTTTAGGGTTTAGGGTTTAGGGAAAGGGTCCATGTGCCCACATTTGTTTTTGCACTTTGGCCTTAAACTGGTCCCTGTTTGGGTACTTTGGGGGCCAATGTATATACTATATGAGTACATGGACCCTTAGGCCTAAGGACCCTGATGTTCGGGACCCCTAAACCCTAAACCCTGAACCCTAAAACCCTAAACCCTGAACCCTAAACCCCTTAAACCCTGAATCCTGAACCCCTAAGCCCTAAATCCCAAACCCTGAACCCTAAACCCTAAACCCACTCGGCTAGAATCCCATTATAACAAGGAAACTCACAAAACCCTAAACCCACTCGGCTAGAATCCCATGACAACCAGGAAACTCACATGGTCTTCGGGCCTCAATATTGAGGATCTCACTTAGAATCCCGCTTTTCAAGTCCCGAATATCTAAACTTGGGTTCAGGGTTTAGGGCTCATAGGGTTCATAGGGTTTATAGGGCTTGTAGGGTTTATAGGGCTTATAGGGTCTAGGGTGTGTTTCTGGACGACCCATTCGTCAAGGCCCTTGTAATTGCACATCGCCTTTGTAATCAGTTTTGGGTAAGTACGGGAGTGGTAATTAACAAGGCCGGAGCCACAAGGGTTTCAAGGCTTCAGGGGTTAAGTTTTTGGGTCTTAGGCGTAGGATTTGGGGTTGTAGAACTTCCCTAAACCCTAATCCCTAAAACGGATCTGCAAGGCTTTCGGTATAGGGCTTTCTTTCAGATGTAGGGCTTACTACCCTAGAAGACCTTTCTCTTTAAGGTTGCTTCCTCGCAGTTCCTTATGTAGACAGATAGATAGATAGATAGATAGACAAACAGATAGATAGATAGGTAGGTAAATAGACAGATGATCAGGTAGATAGATAGATAGATAGGTAGGTAGATAGACAGATAAACAGATAAGGATATGTAGGTAGATAAACAGATAGATAGAAAAGGCAGGTTTAGAGCCAAGCTCAACAGAGACCCCAGAACTTAAATCGAGTCAAGAATCCGTCAAAATCGCACAGGCACTTTATCCTAAACTCCTTGCATAGAGCAAAGGGCAAAAGGATTGGGTTTAGGGCTTCTAGGGTTTGAGGTTTAAGGCTTCAAGGTTTTAGCCTTTAGGGTAGCGCAGCAGCCGGACGACCTCAGCCCAAAAGTGGATAGGCTAGGAGTTAGGGTTTAGGGGTTTAGGGTTTAGGGGTTTAGGGTTTAGGGGTTTAGGGTTTAGGGTTTGGGGTTTAGGGTTTGGGGGGTTAGGGTTTAGGGACAAGCGGCATCTTTTGGAGCAGCTCCTCGGCTTAGTAACCTCACCGCCGGCTGCCATTGTGCACTTCGCTCCTTGATGCAAAAAGGTGCAAGTGGTAAAGAAGTGCCTCCCCAATCCCCGCCGTAAACATATCCCTTATACTGAGGGGCTGAGTACCCTGGCCCAAAGCAGGTTAACTAACAAGGGTAAGGCTATGAAAATAGGTGTGTACATATATATATATGCGCATATATAATCGACAAAAATGTTTAAACACACACATGTATATGTATATATAGATATAGCATGCCCAAATGCGCTAAAGGCCACCTACCCCCAACCCTAAGTACACCCGTAAAGGGCACCTGACTTTTTGGAGGGTCCTTTGGTCCAGTCATTTGTTCCATGAGGCCCTAAACCCTGAACCCTAGACGGCCCTAGACCCTAAACCCTAAACCGTTCAAAACCCGCTTGCGCAGTTGGCTTTTAAAGCAAAATCGCGGCCAGAAAACCGAGGGATGATTCATCCCCCTTACCCCGGCTCGGTTTAGGGTTTAGGGTTTAGGGTTCAGGGTTCAGGGTCACCCCAAACCCGAAACTAGGGACCCTAGGGCAGTATATGGGAGTGTCTGAGATGTACTCTGAGGTTGAGGTTTGCCGTCCTCAAGCTTCAGGCACCACCCAAATGCGGAGCTTTCTCGGGCTCATGCCCCAGGAACCCTCTCCCTAATACCCCGAACCCCAGGTGACCCTATAGTGCAATATATCCCTGGCGCTTTTCGGACATTTAGCTCTAGGCTAACTTGCACCTGAAACTTTGCACCTGAAACCTATAAGGAAGCTATAATATACTATAAAAATATCCCAGACCCTATAACTATAAGAATACATAAGGTCCCCAGACCCTATTCGAAGAGCTCAGCTTCCTGTACTTGGGTAGTTCTCTAAATTACCGGCCTAGTTTAGGGCTTAGGGTTTAGGGGTTTAGGGATTTAGGGTTTAGGAATTTAGGGGTTTAGGGTTGAAGGGTTTAGGGTTTGGGGTTTAGCGAGTCTACCCATATAGGCTCTAATAGTAGTTCCTTTTTGTGGATTATATTTAGAATCCGATAATAAGGTAATCCCCAAAAGGAACTACTTAGGGGCCTATGTGTAGGTTCCCTTTTTGGGGGTCCCCAAAAAACGGCACCCTTATACAATGCACCCTAAAAGGGACCCTAATTTAGAGAACTTCCTGAAAAGCCAAGTAGCCCAAAATAACAGACTACCATACCCTAAAGTAGCCCATAATTGGCTCAAAGTAGTCCCAAAATGCAGACTACTGGCTTTCCAGGTACCCAGTTTCCCAGCGCCTGAACACGAAAACCCTGGAGCCCGAAAGCATGCAGCAAGGTCGGAGTCTTACGCCTTTAGGCTGGGCTTTCTAAGAGCCCACAGCCAAAGTCTGGACTTGTTAGGCACGTTTTTGTTTGTGTTTCACAGTGATATCGGTGATATTGTGTGTTCAGGGTGTCTTGGATTAGGGTTTAGGAAGTTTAGGGCCTAGGGTCTAGGGTTCAGGGTTTTTGACCCCTGATTCCAACTTATACTCCTGCACTGCGCCCCATAACCCACCTCTGCACTGACTCTGCGCCAAGCGCTGACGGTTTAGGGTTTAGGGTGTAGGGAAGTTTATAGGGCAAAAGCGAATTCGGCAAGAGCACCACAAGAGATCCCTCCCATCTCTGAAGTCTTTGAACTCCAAGCGATTTGTACCGTGTAAGAGGTTTGGGGCATAAAGAATCAGAATCTGTGCCATTCCTCTGACTATCTGTTTTTCTATGGTCCGCTCTTGCATGCGTGTATGGATGCAGATATGTAGTTTTACGGCGCCATGTCTTTCTGTGCCGCTGCATATGTATGTATGCTTGTATGTATGTCTGTATGTATGTATGTATGTATGTATGTATGTATGTATGTATGTAGGGTAGGGTAGGGTAGGCGTGCACGTGTGTACTTAAAATATCCAAGCACGCAAGCTTGCAAGCTCAAAGCCCAAGTCAAGGGGAAGTTTTGCATACAGTCATCGAATGTCTTCAACACAAGGCACGGCATGGAAAGGTGAAACCCTTACACAAGGGTTCGGTGTGCAGGGCAAAATCATGAGGGTTTAGGGCAGGATTCAAGACCACGCGGCTCAATTTCCATAAGCAGATCGGACACAGCAGACTCGTGACAAATTCTGTATCTGCAATGTTTTGCAAAACGTAGACAGCTGACCATGCTAGATGATGCTCATAATTACTTCCGAATGAAAACAGGCTGTTCAATAGCCAAGCATCGTAAGCACGCAAAAGGGAGTTTGCAACCTTAGTGGCCAAGTTCATCATGCCCAAATTTGCTTTAAACCTTCAGCTCTACGGAATCGCATTAAATATCGCGACTTGTGTCAAGTATACTCATTGTGCTACCAAGCAACAGCAACGGTCGGAACCACTCGGGATGCCGGCATCCGACAGAAGATGGCGACGGCCTGATGCCACATCTCCGACTTCGCGCAGGCGGTGATGCTGCTCGTGCAGCTGAAGGCGCCAAAGCTCCTTTCTTGCAGGGCATGCTTGCGACCCCTAAACCCGAAACCCCAAACCAAGTTGAAGGTACCCTAAACAGTAAACCCTTAACCCTTGAACCCTGGGGTGCAAAGTCTGCCTATAACCTCTTGCCACGTCCTTCTGAGCTTCTGCGAACGGCTAAGTGCTTTGGGCATCGTGGACGATGCTAAATTACTAAAGTCACAAAAATCAGAGAGGATGCACAGAGGAAGGATCTGACTACACTCTACCTGTGACCCCAAACCCTACAAAATAGAAGGTTATGACCCCTTAATTAGAGGCTAGAACCCATAAAACGGTAGGGTTTTGGGATCCCCTCGCAGACTCTAGACCTTAAAGGCCTGAGTGGGCCCAAAGTCACGAGCCGAGACCGCCTTACTCTCAGGGTTCAAACCCTAAGGGTCCATGTACTCGTATAGGGCTCCCTTTAAGGGTTCCGTTAACAGGGCATTTTTACGGGTTCTATAGCCTCTTAGCGGGCTTAAGGGTCCAGAAAAGTACTCATATAGTATATACATTGGCCCCAAAGTACCCAAATAGGGACTACTTTAAGGCCAAAGTATACACGACTTGGGTACATGGACCCTTAGGGAAAGGGTTCAGGGCTTGTTGTGTGTTCACGGCCCCATCAGTTGAACTCCACATCCCAGGCCGTAATACTTAGAATAAGGATTTGGGGGGTAGATTATACTATAACTATAGCAAGCAGGCCGAAACATAGTGTAGGTAATTATGAAGGCCCCTATATTCGACTGCCGAGACACGGCGCTCCATCCTTGAAGGACAGCAAGTCCAAAGCAACCCGCCAGTAGCTACGGCGCTCGCACGCACTGATGGCGCCTGTGCCACGGAGTGGGCAGAGATATGGCACATCACGGGTTTAGGCTTTAGGGTTTAGGGACAGGCATAAACCAAGTAAGCCCGCCAAAACCCTGCACCCGCCATCACACAGTCTGAACAATGATGCGCAACAAATAACCTTAACCTTACATGCTCGTCCTAGTCCAACCTGAATATATCAGTAACAGTATCTCTGGCGGAAAGAACCAGAATACAAGTAACATTCTGCCCGGCAGAAAAAACATCGAGCATGGCAGTAAACCTGTAGCAAGGCCACAAACACAGAGGTGCCATCTAGTTGCTGAGTTCATAAGCACAAAAAAGTGTACACTTTCAGTTCTATAATTCTATAAGGGACCATATTATTCCTAAAAAATTTGAAGCGTAGCAACCCAGCTACTAAGCCATATAAACTTCCTTCCAGTATGGAATCAGGTCGTGAAGGCATCATAGAGATGGTCTGCTGAAGCACATTGCCAAAATAAACAAGATAAACTTCTGAAAGAAACAATTTAGAGAATAGCAATCTCAAAATATTGTAGAAAATATAGAATTATTACAGTTGAAGTTTCGCACCGGCAATACAACACACATTTCGACGGCTTGCAGCTTGAAAAACCAATAAACACAACTACAGCAATACATTTTGAGTTTATACCCGCACCAATCTAAGCCCTAGAATCCTGCAAGCCCTAAATACCCATTTCCTTATTACAAAACTCTAGGTTCAGGTCGGGGAGCCACTGAAGCTCACGGCATCCGTGCGAAAAAGATGGCTGGAAAACTCTGCCAGGAGCTGCAGAGCACCCCGCCACTCACTGCGCCTCGCAGGGTTTTTGCGGATAAGGGCTGTTTAGGGCTTGGTTTAGGGTTTAGGGCTTAGGGTACGGGTGTTTTGTTTTTGTTTCAGCATCGGCCTTGGGATTTGGGACACCTCCCTTAGCCCCACTGGTCCCTTAGTAAAACTATCTCGGCCGACGACAACATTAGACCCTGAGCCCTTGATCGCCTGAGCCCTAACAGCCCAAACCTGAGCCCTCAGATTCTAGATTGTCGCAAAACCGTGCTTAAGGGTTTAAGGCTTAGGGTTTCGTTGTGCAAATTGGATGTTGGCTCGACAACTCGCTTCCCCACTAGTCGAAGAGTTCGTGTGTTTCTGTGCTTGGCCGATATTCACAAGATCGAAAATTTTGAAAATCCCAAACATTGAACGTTAACTCCAAACGCTAAACCGTGGCTCGTGAAGGGAAGGGTGGCAATCCTAATCCCTAGCCCCTAAATCTAAAAACCTCGTAAAAGCCAACACAACAGGCAAGAAGCCTTTCCCTAATCCCTACCTGGACCCCAAAGGTATGTAGAATAATAGCCTTTTATGGGTTTTGGGCCATTATTTTACCTACTTTGGGGGGTTTAGGTAACCCCTAAATTTAAGAACTCGTATAAGCCCGTTTCGGTGCAGGAAGAGGCCTTTGGCAGTCGAGGATACCTCTGTTGGACAGCTGTGGCACACACGGTCGGGAAAAGTCGATGGCTGCCGTAGTGATGACAGCATCTGCCGGCCCCTGTCTGGTTCTTTTCTTCGGGTTGGGGGAGGTTGAGGGCTTAACGTTTAGGGTGTAGGGCGTGTGGCGTGTGGGAGAAGGCTTACTTTCACTATATTTACAGTGTAAAGTTTAAAATTAACATAGCTGCTCACGTGTCAGCGGGGCTTCCGTGTAGCTGCACAAAAACATGCCTTGACCCACGCAAGCTGGAACACCGCGCGTCAACTCCAAACACCCAACCCAATATGCAAAACTCTATACCCGAAACCCTAAACCCTGAAACCCTATCAACCCTAAACCCTGAACCCTAAATCCTGAACCCTAAGTCCTAAACTCTATATTACAAAAAAAACACCTCCCAGGCTACATGGTGGAAGTGCCGATGCTACATTGTCGCGCTGGTTCAAGGAGAAGGGTGCGGAAATACAGCCTCGTTGGGTCAGTCATGTTTCTTGCGACAGAGTTTACAATATCAAGTACATGAAACTCTTTTGTATAGTTACAGAGATGGAAATATGCAGCAGAAAGCATCGCAGATGCAACTGTACGCAGAAATGCTGATAGTCATCTCGACCTTTTGGCAACGATCAAGCATACTATCTGTTCGGTGCTGTGAAAAAAGAGCGGAACTCGTTAGCCTGCGTGGCCACCCATGGTTTCATGATGAGTGCTGCTGGGACAGGCACACGAGAACCACCAGCTACTTCGAGACAGCCATCTTCTACATCTTCTCAAGTATGAGGAGGAGGATGGTAAGTGAAGAATCGCCAACCTCACCAACGCCATCTACACCGAGAACTCCGATGAGTGACGATCTTCCGTGGGACTCTCCGGGCACTACAGGATTGTCTGGAAATGATGGGCAGTTCGAACGAGACCGGGTCTGTACGGATGTCCTCATGCTCCTGACGATGGAGCAGTTGAAGGAGGGGTTGCGTCATGTGGGCCTAAACCCTTAAACCCTAAACCCTAAACCCTAAACCCTAAACCGTGTGACTGGGCTAAAGATAGACCTGGCTAGGAGGCTAGGTGGAAGCCTGAAGGACAGGTGATGTAAGGGCATCCGATCATGTCCACCTCCCAGGCTACATGGTGGAAGTGCCGATACTACATTGTCGCGCTGGTTCAAGGAAGAAACAAAACCCAAAGCCGAAACCCTGAACCCTAAACCCCAAATCCTGAACCTTATAAACCCTTAACCCGAGTCCTCAAGACTCCACTTCTTACGCAATTTGTGCCTTCCGCTTCGTGGGAAGCACAGGCGCGGCGGTTTCGGGTTTAGGGGTCAGGGGTTAGGGGTTTAGGGGTTTAGGGGGTTTAGGGCTTCTTTTAAGAGATCTTTGTATAAGGGTTCCCTTAAGGGATCTATAGGGTTTAAGGGTTAGGGGTTTAGGGGTTTGGGGGTTTAATATGGGCTTTTTCGGTATCAGGGGTTTAGGGGTTTAGGGTTCTCTGCAGCGATAGCTACAGTCCTCCTGCCCTTGGGCTGGGCACTCTGCAGTCCTATTCCTTGATCGGAAATCCAGCGTTCAGGACCTTTTCTGCTGGCTTCGTGTTTAGGGCTTAGAGGTTCGAGATGTGTTCGAGGCCATCTGCGAAAGCCGCATTTAAAGCTTAGGACCTATAAAGCCCACATGCTCTCAACCCCCGACAACCCGAAACCTTGAGTCCTTATATCTAAGGGCTGATGAGTGGTTTTTCTGTGCCGGAGGACGCAGTCATCCCAAAAGCACCCAGCTTCCTAGGGTTTCGTGTGTATGGGCTTAGGGTTTACGGTTTACGGTTTAGGGCTTCCAGGGTTTAGGGTTCAGGCTTCATGGGACGAACCGTAAATAGACTATTGGGACACCCGCAACCCGGATACTTACCTTGAACTATCAGAACCTGCTGGTTTGTAGGTTCGTACTACAATAATTCCTGGTATAGAATGTACAAAAAATAGGTTTTGGTAGTTTGGTGGTTCTCTAATTTAGGGTCCTTCTTAGGTCCCACATATAGTACGGCAACCTTATAAAAAGGGCCCTAAAACAGAGACCCTAAATTTAGAATACTGCCCAGTTCAGTGTAGGCTTCAAGGTGGTGAGGTCTCCCTCAACCCTAAATCCTAAACTCTAAACCCCTAAGCCTAACCCCTAAAGCCTCAAACCCTCAAACCCTAAACCCTCAAACCCTATAAACCCTAAACCCTAAACCCCTAAACCCTAAACATGCTTGTGCACTGAGAGGGGCCGAGGATGCCATGTACAGTAGGTCTGACCGTCTCTGCCCACCCTAGTTGCTGAGTTCAAGGGTTTAGGGTTTAGGGATTTTAGTTTAGGGTTTAGGGCTTAAGGTTTAGGGTTTAGGGATCAGGGCGTTTAGGGTTTAATTCTATGTGGATTAGGGTTTAGGGTTCTTAGTTGCGGAGTTCATGAGCGTAAAGAAAGTGTACACTTTCAGTACTATAAGGGATCATGTTATCCCAAAAAGTTATTGAAGTGTAGTAATTCAGCTACTAAGCCTTGAGCCCACGCCTCCGAGTCTGAAGCCTAAACTGTACTCAGTAAAGCCGACTCCAACCTACGCCCAAACACCAACCCAGCCATGACCCACTGTCCCAAACGTCCTTGTTGATACCACGGAAGGCTTTTTTTTGCATAAACTGCAGGGGTGCGGATTGTGGCATTCGGAAATTTAGGGTGCCAGCCTCAATGCTTTGTCCCAAAGCAGACAAGTCATCCCAGCAGCACTGAGGCCTTTTGCGACTTTAAACATAGGCCCCTAAGTAGTTCCTTTTTGGGATTGCCATATAGGATTCTAAATATAGCCCACAAAAAGGAACTACTTAGGGGCCGATGGGTAAACACTGAAGATCCAGACCGCTGCCCTCTGCAACCCTGACAACTAAATCCTGAACCTGACCCGAACATGCCAAAATCATTGCATTCAGCCTCACCAAACTGCATAAACAAAAATGAGCTCCTGCTATCCTGAACCCCGAAGCCCCCAATTAAACCCTAAACCCTTAAACCTGAAGCCCCTAAACCCTAAACCGCATCTCTTTCGAAGTTTCAGGGTCCGAGCATGTCCGCCACCGGCAGGAAGCGACATGCCAGCACGCCTGGCGCGAGGGTTCTTTCACAGTTTAGGGTTTAGGGTGTAGGGTTTAGGGTTTAGGGGTTCTTTCACAAGTCTGATTTTGGAAAGGAGATTCACAGCCAAAGAAGTACTTACCCTAAATCCCAAACCCCTAACCACTTATAACCCTAACAGTGGCCATCTATCTACGGTCTTTTTTCTGGCCTCCATTTTCTGACGTCACTGTTCGGGATTTAGGGTTGAGGGCTCATCCCAAAGACTCCAATATCCCTTAATTAAGGAATATACCTTAAATCTTACTAGGGATCCTATTATAATTTAAGGTATATTCCTTAATTAAGGGATATTGGAGTCTCTGGGATTGTTTAGGCTTTAGGGTTCAGGGCGCTGAGCAGGACCACGGCTTTCCCCTAAGCCCTAAACTAAACCGTGGGTTTAGGGTTTAGGGTTTAGGGTTTTAGGTTTTAGGGTTTAGGGTTTAGGTTTTAGGTTTTAGGGTTTAGGGTTTAGGGTTTACCCCAAAGGGGCGGCTAGCCTGTAGGATGTAAGGCTGCCCAGGACAAGGGTTTTGCTGCAGGAGCAGCCGACCGTTGCAACTTGTTGAGGTTTAGGGTTTAGGGGTTTAAGCCCTTCTAACTCAAAACCCCCCCAAAAACCCTGTCTCCTAAGCCCAAACTCCCCGTAGAAGATACACTGTAAGCAGCATACACAAAAATCCTAAAACCCAGTCTAATCCAAGCATGAAGTAAATCCTCTCTGTGACTTTCAGACAGTCAAAGGGCTCCCAGGCCACTGCCCAGAGGAAGAATAATTAGGGTTTGGGGGTATAGTATATACTTACAATGAGGAGCTCCAGAAAGCATTGGTAATTGTTTAGGCCCCATATAATTCTACCCCAAACTCTCTTCTCCCGAACAAGCTCGGGCTTAGGACCTATCACGTCTGAGAGGTAGGCAATCATTGATACCAGGATGATATCCAAACACGGTTTTAGGGCTTAGGCTTTAGGGCTTAGGGCTAGTCTGCGCAAGTGCCTCTCCATGCTCAGTCACTGTGCGCCCAGCTGCTCCGCACCCAAAATCTCCGACTGTTCTCCACATTGGCCCGCGAGGTCCACTCAGCCTGCTGCCAGGGGTCCTCGAAGACTCTGCGAGACACTTCGCTTCCGACAGGCACATGCAACGACAGGGTCGGTAAAGGGCTCAGGGTCCTTGGTCCAGGCTTAAGCCAGCATGGGCTAACTGCCTTGCAACTGCATCCGAAACTGCTTGACGTTTCTTCGCCATTAGCACACTGGCATTGAAATCTAAGCTTTTGGTCGGTGCTTAGCTAGGTTTCCCAGGAGTCCCTGAAAAATGAGGATGCGCTTTTTCGTATTATTCGGTTTCAATAAGAAGAACCCGAAATAAAAAAAGGGAAAAAAGGCCACGGGGAGACCTAGTGAACGTAAGGGAGATTGACAGTAGGGTTTGGGGTTTAGGAGATTAGGGGTTTAGGGTTTAGGTTTAGGGGTCTAGGGGTTTAGGGGTTTAGGGGTTTTGGGTTTAGGGTTTGTTGGGAGATTGACAGTAGTTCGAAGTTGGAGGACCCCTGCTTGCAGAGAAAGGTTCGAGGCAATGGACACAGGAGGTTTATGTTGCGGGAGCGGGCGGTAGGATTCCCTTTTGGGTTCGGGGTTTCGGACTGTCAGGACCAAACCCGAAATCCTAAACCCTGAACCAGATTGTTATGAACCTCTATTTGCCTGTACCTTCCGTCTCTGTCAACACGTGGCAGCTTCACGATTTGCGTGCCCAGGGGTGTTTTCGTAGTCGCCTCCCTGGTGGCCGTCACAACTTGGGACTGCATCTGATCGAAAAAGAGCAGCTTATCGTATCATCTAGTCCGTTTCTGTCGTCATCGACTGTAGCCCATGACAGTACTACTGCAAGTGTCGTAGT